CCATTTACTACATTCTAATGGGAGCTTACATTTTCTTTTTCCAAATCAGGTGACAGTCTGGAGAATGACAATGAGAAACAGATGAGGTTAATGCCTATGGAAACAGCAAACCTTCAAGTAGAAGAAGTGATTTTTGACCATCAACAGGATGCAAACCCCCAAGAAAAACGCTACTCAGAAGATCAGGGGGCGAGATCTTCCACTTATCTTCCTATTGAAATCCAGCAAGACCAGAATGGGAAGCAAAAGGGAAAATACAGCAAAAGGGAGAAAAATGAATTCGATTTAGCTGAATACGGCAGAAGCCAGAGCAAAGGAAAACCATATGAATACAGACAGTATGCAAAATCCATCAATCCTTCTTTCTCTCTTTCTTTACCTAAGAAACTGTACAGCAAACACGAGCCAAATATATTTGTAAAATTTGGAAAGTGTTTCAGTGTGAGCAGAGACACGAAGCTCTGTGTGAAGTGTGGAAAGAACTTCAGTAGCAACAGTACACTTAATCGTCACCAGAAGATCCACACAGGGGAGAAACCATATAAATGCACGGAGTGTGGAAAAAGCTTTTCTCGAAACACACATTTTATTCATCACAAAAGGATCCATACAGGGGAAAGACCATATAAATGCCTGGAGTGTGGAAAGAGCTTTATTGAGAACAGAATTTTTACTCGGCACCAAAGGATCCACATAAAAGAGAGACCATATAAATGCATAGAATGTGGAAAGGGCTTTATCGACAACAGAGACCTTAGTCACCATCAAAGGATCCACAGAGAGGAGAGACCATACAAATGCACAGAGTGTGGAAAAAGCTTTAATCACTACAGAATCTTTACTCATCATGAAAAAATGCACATCAGAAAGAATCAATATAAATGCATAGAGTGTGGCAAGAGCTTTAGTAACTCTAGTACTTTTACTATTCACAAAAGGATCCATGCAGGTGAGAAACCATACAAATGCTTAGAGTGTGGAAAGAGTTTTACCCGGAAAGGGCATCTTAATCGTCATGAAAAGACTCACATGGGGCAGAAACTTTATAAATGCATAGAATGTGGAAAGAGCTTCAGTACAAACGGTAATCTGGCTCGCCATCAGAAGATCCACACAGCTGAAAAAACATATAGTTGCAAGGAGTGTGGAAAGACATTCGCTGAGAGTAGTGATATTATTTCCCATCAAAGAATCCACACAGGGGAGAGACCATATAAATGCCTGGACTGCGGAAAGAGTTTTTTTGACAACAGTGGCCTTACTCGACATCAAAGGGTCCACACAATGGATAGACGGCATGAATGCTTGGAGTGTGGAAAGACCTTTATTGAGAACAGAAATTTTATTCGGCACCAAAGGATCCACACAGGAGAGAGACCGTATAAATGCATGGAGTGTGGGAAGAGCTTTATTAGCAATTGTGAACTTACCTTCCACCAAAGGTTGCACACAGGGGACAGACCATATAAATGCATGGAGTGTGGGAAAAGCTTTCGTCGGAATACAGAACTTATTCATCATAAGAGGACCCACACTGGGGAAAGACCATATAAATGCGTGGAATGTGGGAAATCTTTTACTACGAAAGGCCATCTTACTTATCATGAAAGAATCCATACAGGGGAGAAACCATTTCAATGTATAGAATGTGGAAAGAGCTTTGCTCAGAAAGGACAACTGACTTCTCATGAGAGAATCCACACAGGAGAGAGACCATATAAATGCTTAGAGTGTGGAAAAAGTTTTCATTGGTGCACAGAACTTATTCAACATGGAAGGATCCATACTGGGGAAAGACCATACACATGCAGGGAGTGTGGGAAGCAATTTACTCGGAAAGTTCATTTGATTACTCATGAAAGAATCCATACAGGGGAGAGACCATATAAATGCACAGAGTGTGGAAAAAGCTTTGCTCAGACAGGACAACTTAATTCTCATAAAAGAACCCACACAAGAGACCATATAAATCCATTGTAGTATGGAGAAAGCTCCAATAATCACAAGGAAGGAATCCAAAGTGGGGAAAATCCATATAAATTCATAGCGTGTTGAAAGAGGTGTACTTGGAAAGGACAACGAAAACCTCATAAAATTATGTGTGCAGAAGAAATATTATAAATCTATGGAATGAGCTTCATTCAAAACAAATTACTTAACCATGAAAGAATCCAGAAATGAGAAGGAAGCTTATTATTGCATAGAATGTGCAGATATCTTTTGTTTGATCTGGAATATTATTCATGATCCTGTGAGTGTTCTCTGATATCCAAGGAGTGAGCACACACAGCACAGCATTAGAAACAGCGTGCTTCACTGTATTACGTGCCTTCCCCAACAACAGGCTATTGCTCTTAACTCTACCCTTCTGGACCTTCCCTCCAGTGATGCAGCATGCACAACTCCGGGAGGCAAAAGCTGTTCCATTAATTAATACTTCTCACTGTTAGGAAATTCCTCATTTCCAGGATCACTGTCCCACCAGTGAGCTTCCTCCCTCTGCTTCTAGTCCTGACCTCAGGTGCTTTGGAAGATAAATGGACCATTCCTCCTTGGGACAGCCCTTTAAGCACTGGAAGACTGCTACCTTAACCTTTCTGTTTTGTTAAGCTGAAGGTACCTAGGTCCTCCCGAATGCCATATAGACGAATATGATGACTTCCTATGACCTTGGTGCTGTTCCTCTGTTGATGTAAACTGGGACAGTGTTGGCTTTTTGGACACCTGCTGTACACTGGCTCATATTTAAGTGATTGTGCACTGGGACTCCAAGATCCCTCCCACAGTTGCTTTATTAAGCTATGTGTCATCTAGTCTGTACTTATACAGTTGGGTTTTTTTGCCTAAGTGTAAAACCTTATTCTTATCTATGTTGAATTACATTTTGTTAGCTAGGGTCCAGTGTTCCAATCTTGTCAAGATCTTTTTGGATCTTGAGCTTGTCATCTGGGGTGTTAGCTATTCCTGCCAGCTTTAGTGTCGTTGGCAGATTTGATGAGTTCCCCCTCTATTCCCTCATTTATATTGTTTATGAAGATGTTGAACGGTACTGGACCTAAAACGGAACCTTGGGAAACCCCACCGCTTGCCTTCATGTGGATGTAGTTCCATTGAGGACTACACAAATTTGTCAGCCAGTAACAGATCCACCTAGTGGTGTTGGTGTCTATTCCACATTTTTCTAGCTTTCTAAGAAGTAGGTTGTGCATCTACATTATCAAATGCTTCACGGAAATCTAAGTATACTATGTCCCCAGCATTTGACTGATTCACTAATTTAGTCACTTTGTCAAAGAATGAAGTAAGATTTCTTCATGGCATGATCTGTTTTTGATAATCCTATATTGGCTTCTGGTTATAACTTTATTTGCTTCTAGATGTTCGCAGATTTGTTACTTGATTATCTTTTCCAAGTATATTTTAATATATTTTATATATTTTAATTTGCATTCCTTCCCTGTCATTTATGGTTCTCTTTTTTGAAAGTTGAGATGTGTTTTCTTGTATGAAGACAGAGGAAAGCATGAATCAAGCAGTTCTGCTTTCTCTCTACTCGTTATTTTTTTCCCCATCTCCCAAGTAAGTAATGGGCAGGAGAGAGAAAAGCAGAACTGCTAAATTCATACTTTGCATCTGTCTTCACACAAAAAGAAAACAGTAGGACATTCTGTTGCTATGTGAAACATAAATAGCATATCAGCCAATCAACCAGCCAGGAAAGATCAAGTAGAAAAGGTGGACAGAAAGTCAAGACTTCCAACAGCACAGAAATAGAAACCGAAGATATATAGGGCAGATTGCATTCTGTAGAAAAAGTAGGGTTCCTTTATGGGTGTCACCACATTAATACAGATAACAGGACAAATAAACTGGCCTGGAGGAACCTTCAAAACATGTATAACTTTTGTATTTAATAATGCATAACATTACATTATAATTATAATAATACATAAACTGCTGGAAGTAAAGAAAAATCCCAGGTTCTCAAAACCAACAATCAAAGCAGATTCCATTCAAAAGAGCTTTGCTTATTCCAGCTTATGGAGCTTCTCAGCCATCCAGGTCTTGGTTGCCCCAAAGGTGCTTTTTCAAGAGAGGCAACTGGGCTTTCTGGTTTTTCTTTGAAGAAGCTTGGATGAGAAGCTGAAGCACCAGAAAGGCCAGTTGCTTCTTCAAGAAAGCATTTTTGGGACAGCCCTGCTCTACCTCCACCGTGCCCATTATACTCGACCTAGGGGTCTTGAAACTTGACAGTTTTAAGACTTGTGGACGTCAACTCCCAGAATTCTTCCTCCTGTCATGTTAGCTCAGGAATTCTGGGAGTTGAAGTCCACAAGTCTTAAACTTGCCTATTTCCATATTCCCGCATGACCCACCACTCCCCTACCAAATGGCTAATTTTTGAGGCGGCGGAATAAGAGGACATGTTTGCCAGACCTCGAAGCTGAGGAAAGGAGAGGCGGGGGTCTTGGAAGGCGCTCGAGACCAGAGCTGTAAACGGGAGGGGTGAGCGCTTATAGAAGTTTGCCTCTGTAGGAAACCGCCATCTCCGGCTGAGCGTCTCGGAGACCAGGAGGGCGCGGGAAGTTTTGGCGGGAAGGGTTTGCAGACGCTCTTCTCCGCCTCAGAAGCCCTGAGGGAACGGAGCCCCGCCCCCTTCTCCCTCCACTGAAACCGGGAAAGGGGCGAGGGTGGCTCCGCCGTGACCGAAGGCGGCGGCCTCGGAATTTTTCCCCCATTGGGGCTGCGCTGAAGCCGGAGACCGAATGGTGGCCGGGGGGGGCGGTCAGCGTGGGGGAGGGAGCAACAGCGGCCCTCCAGGCGAGTAACAGCTGCGGCGTGGAGTCCGGCGGGGGAAGCGGCGTCCTGAGCGGACTCTCCGAGCGACTCCGCAGCTCCGAGGCTGAGCGCTAGCACTTCCGCAGTTGCGGCTCCTTGGAGGCCGAGGGGCCCCGGGCGCTTTGCAGCCGCCTGCACCGGTTATGCCGGGGGGCGGCTGCGGCCCGAGCGGAGCAGCAAAGCCGAGATGCTGGACCTGGTGGTGCTGGAGCAGCTGCTGGCCCTGCTGCCCCCGGAGCTGTCGGGCTGGCTGAGGGAGTGCGGGACGGAGAGCTGCGCCCAGGCGGTGGCCCTGGCCGAAGGCTGCCTCCTCCGCCCCGCAGCCGCCCCGCAGCCCGGAAAGGGGCGGCAGGTGAGGCATTTTCGTCCTCTTCTACGCCTCTTGCCTTTCTTCCTTCCAGATAATCGCAGAGAAATAAAACATCCAGAGACCAGGTGTTGGGATGGTGTAATAGTACGTGGGAATAACTTTGTGGGACGTTATTCACACATTCTATTTTCCCTCATAGTTTGTCATGGACTGGACAGCCATAATGCAAAAGATATTTCAATTCTCAGATGGTGGAGGGGGGGGGAGATTTAATAAAAACCCTCCCTACTTTTCCAGCAGGTACAAGGAGAGGATACAAAAAATGCTTTCAGAATTGCAAGATTTTATTAATGTAGTCTTACAAAGGTAGAGCTAATATTCATTGTCTGACTACTTGAAGCTGAATGGTTGATTAATTTTACCACCAGTCAGGATTCCTAAAGTAGGGAAGCAGACCCCAATCCTGAATCTAAGAGGCTTCCTCTATCTACTAAGAGCTCTTCCCCAATTTCCCACCCACCCAAAAAAACATATACTGGTATCTCAAATGGATCAACAACTGGTCCTTTTACAAATGTTGGTCAGTACCATTAGCTTGGAACTTAAGACAAGTGAACTCCCTTTCTCATGAACAGGACCTTTTAACCAAGGCGAATGTTGGAAACCTATTTTTCTTCTAGATAATATTTTTGGCAAGAAGCAGGGGAGAATTATTTTTACACAGATATTTCACACAGCTGCAAATTAGAACAAGCAAAGGATTATACAGAGTTATGAAATGAAAGATGAAAGTGTTTATACATTATATTTTCCTGTCACTTAATTCTAGCCAAATACATCTGATTATATGACCTTCCTCTGGTATAGGGCCACAGCACATATAAATAAACTTAATTCTCATAAAAGAATCCACACAGAAGAGAAACCATATAAATGCGTAGAGTGTAGAAAGAGCTTTATTAATAAATGGCATCTTACTTCCCACCAAAGGATACACACAGGGGAAAGACCATATAAATGCAGACAATGTGGGAAAGCGTTCACTCTGAAAAGTGGCCTTATTAGTCATGAAAGAATCTATAAAGGAGAGAAACCATTTCAATGTACAGAATGTGGAAAGAGCATTACTTGGAAAGGACAACTGAATTCTCATGAGAGAAGCCACACAAGGCAGATATCCTGTAATTGCCTGGAGTGTGGAAAGAACTTTATTGACAAATAGCAGCTTAGTTTCCACCTGAGGATGCACACAAAGACCATATAGATGCATGGAGTGTGGAAAAGCTTTCATCACAACTAAGAACTTATTCGTCATAAGAGGACCCACATTGGGGAGAGACCTTATAAATGCATAAAATGTGGAAAAGCCTTTACTCAGAAAAGTGACCTTATTAGTCATGAAAGAATCCATACAAGGGAGAAACCATTTCAATGCACAGAATGTGGAAAGAGCTTTGCTCAGAAAGGACAACTGACTTCTCATGAGAGAATCCACACAGGAGAGAGACCATATAAATGCTTTGAGTGTGGAAAAGCGTTTACTCAGAAAAGTGGTCTTATTCGTCATGAAAAAATCCATACAAGGGCGAAACCAAATCAGTGTAGCATGTGGAAAGAGCTTTGCTGAGAAAGGACAACTTAATTCTTATGAAAGAGCTCACACAGAAGAGACCATATAAATGCATGTAGTGTGGAGACAGCTACAACCACTGCAGGACATTTATTCATGAAGGAATCCACACCCGGGGGTGGGGGTCGGGGGAATCCATATAAATGTGTGGAGTGTTGAAAGAGCTTTGCCTGGAAAGGATAACATAAATCTCATAAAATTATGCCCACAGAAGAAACCATATAAAACTATGGAATGAGCTTCATTCAAAACAATCCAAAGAATCCAGAAAGGAGAAGGAAGCTTATTGCATGGAAGGTGCAAAGATATTTTGTTTGATCTGGAATGTTATTCATGATGCTGTGTGGATTCTCTGATTTCCAAGGAGTGAACACAGCACAGCACAGCATTAGCAAATCTGTACTCTGCTTCATTGTGTCACATGCCTTCCCCAACAAAAGGTTATTGCTCTTAACGCTACCCTTCTGGATCTTGCAATTTGAGATTGCAATGCAAATACACTTTTAGTACTGAGGCCTTAACTCAAATGAATATTTGAAAGTCTGTAAAGTGGTAGACAACCTTTGCTTCCTTCCAAACATTTTTGCATTGTGCCATTGCCCCAGTGCATTTGCTGCATTTTTCATGGCCAATTTCCAAGTCCTGCATTTAAGCCATGTTGCCAGGCCAAGTTACCAAGTTAACCTCCAGACAGGAGTTCTACCAGAATATGCTGCTTGCCATAGTTTGTGGTGCTGGAAGTTGAGGGATTGCCTGCTTGTATTGCTTGTCAGTCACCAAATATGGCCTCCTGCTTCACCATCTTCTTGCCCTTTCAGATAACAGATAATCAGAGTTGGAAGGGACCTTGTAGGTCATCTAGTCCAACGCCCTGCCCAAGCAGGAGACCCTATACAATTTCTGACAAATGGCAGTCCAATCTCTTCTTGAAAGTCTCAAGTGATGGCACTCCAACAACTTCTGAGGGCAAGGTATTCCATTGGTTGATTGTTCTCTCTTTCAGAAAGTTTCTCCTTATTTCCAGCCTTAGCCTCCTCAATGCCATATAGACGAATATGATGGCTTCCTATGATCTTGGTGCTGTTCCTCTGTAGTGGCTCATATTTAAGTGATTGTGCACTAGGACAGTGGTCGCCAACCGGTGTGGTCCACGAGAAAATTTTGGTGGTCCGCAGATAAATTTCAGCCCCAAAGCACCCCCCAAAGCAATTAACCCAGGCTGCATGGGAACGCAAAGCCCACATGGCCCTTAGGAACACAGGCTTGTGTTGCTTGTATTGGAAACAACATGAGGTAGTGAGGGGAGGGCGGGAGAGGCGGGGGGGAACTTGCCCCACGTGCCTTGCCTGGGGTGCTTCTTTCCACTTCTGCTTTTGGCTGCATGCAAGGAAAGCAGCAAAAGTCTTTCTCCCCCAACTCTGCCAGAAATGAGTCTTTGAGACCCTGCAAGGCATCCTGCTCCATGAGGCTACACTGGTACGACAAGTCTCAGACTCATTTCTGGCAAAGTTTGGGGGAGAGCAAGAAAGACTTCTGCTGCTTTCCTTGCACGAAGCCCAAAGTCTCTCTCTCCCCCTGAGAATGGAGCTGGAGACGGCATCCTGTGATCCCAAATAAAGAATAATTGATTGGTAGGAAAACGGTAGGGAATTTTCCTGCAGCCTTTTGAGGGGATTTTCCCAGGGTCTCTGCAGAAAAAGCATAAGCAGCAGAGACCCTGGGAAAGTCCCTCCAAAAGTGCAGGAAAATTCCCCACCCCGTTTTCCTACCGATCGATTGTTTTCTATTTGGGATCGCAGGATACCATCTCTCTCTCCTGAAAATGGAGCTGAAAAGTAGGTTGATGAAGGAATGTGGCTATCTTGGAGGGCATGAGTGTGTGTGTGTGTGTGTGTGTGTGTGTGTGTGGTGGAGCTTCAGTGCTTGGCTGGCAGGGAGTCAGGCAAGGTGCATCGCTCACTCTTTTTGACCACGAAAGAAGCAGCCTGGGAGTCAGGTGAGGCATGTGGGGTGAGGTGTGTGGCCCTGCTTTATTTTCTAAGAAACACGATAAAAGGTAAAACCACGGCGGGGGAGGGAAATTTGCCCTGGGGTGGCTTGCTGACGCTGGTGGGAAAGTCAGTCCCATATTCCAGAGCTGCAGTATTAACAGTACTATGTCTGATATGCAGTGCGGATTCCAGACTGAATATTCGAGTATTGGTCTGGCAAAAGTTTTGTATGCTCTAGTTAGCAATTGGATATTTCCGGAGAAGCTTCGTAAGATTAGATTTAAAACTCTTAATGCCTTTTTGGCAATGCTGTTACAGTGAGCTCTGGCGCTTAGATCATTTGATATGAGAACTCCAAGGTCCTTGACAGAGTGAGGATCATCAACGAGGTCATATCCGCCTAGTTTGTATTTGGTGTACTGATTTTTTTTACCAATGTGTAAGGCAGAGCATTTGTTGGTCGAGATTTGGAGTTGCCAGATGTTGACCATTTAGACACATAATCAAGGTCACTTTAAAGGATAGTAGCATTGTCAGTGGTGTTGAATAGTTTTACATCATCTACGAAGAGGACGCAGTTGCTTATAAGGTGATCGCAAAGGTCATTTATATAGAGCATAAAGAGTGTGGGTCCTAGAACGCTGCCTTGGGGGACACCACTGTTAAATGGAGCACGGTTAGATATAGCGCTCCCTATTTTTAATATTTGTTGCCTGTTTGATAGGAATGCTTATAACTACATTATACAACATAATTGTAACTCTGTAATACATATAAACAAACCGCCGGAAGTAAAAGAAAAATCCCAGGTGTTCAAAACCAAACAAAGCTGATTCCATTCAAAGGAGTTTTGCTTATTCCAGTTTATGGAGCTTCTCAGTCATCCAGGTCATAGTTTATTTTATTTATTTTTTATTTATTTTGTCAAGCAATTATAAGATAATAGGTATAAGAATAAACATAGTTACGAATACATGAAATGGATACATATAAGACAAATAAACAATAGGACAGGGACGGTAGGCACGTTGGTGCGCTTATGCACTAAAGGTGCTTTTTCAAGAGGCAACTGGGCTTTCTGTTTTTTCTCTGAAGAAGCTGAAGCACCAGAAAATCCCGTTGCTTCTTCAGAAAGCATTGTTGGGAGAACCCTGCTCTTCCTCCACCGTGCCCATCATACTCGACCCTTTACCCCATATTCATCATCACCTATAATTCCTCTACCAAATGGTTAACTTTTGAGCGTCCGGAACAAGAGCGCATGTGCAGACGACGTTTGCCAGACGAAGCCGAGGAAAAGGGAGGCGGTGATTTGGCTTGGAAGACGCTCTAGCCAGGAGCTGTAAACGAGAGCGGGGCGGGGGCGCTGATAGGGGTTTACCTCAGGGAAAGCTGCTCTCCGGCTGACCTGCAGGAGGACGCGGGAAGTTTTGGCGGGAAGGATTTGCAGCTGCTGTTCTCGGCCTCAGAATTCCTGAGGAGGCGGAGCCCCGCCCCCTTCTCCCAACCCTGAAAGAGGTGGGGGAGGGTCCGCCATGACTGAAGGCGGCTTCAGACGGTTTTTCCCCCAGTTGGGACTGCGCTGAAGCCCGGACACCGAATGGATGCCCGGTGGTCGCCCCTTCAGACGGGGAGCGGCTGCTCTGAGGCTGAGCGCTGGCGCTTCCGCAGCTGCGTCTCCCGGGAGGCCGAGGGGCCCCGGGCGCTTTGCAGCCGCCTGTACCGGCTGTACCAGGGGTGGCTGCGGCCCGAGCGGAGCAGCAAAACCGAGATGCTGGACCTGGTGGTGCTGGAGCAGCTGCTGGCCCTGCTGCCCCCGGAGCTGTCGGGCTGGCTGAGGGAGTGCGGGGCGGAGAACTGCGCCCAAGCGGTGGCCCTGGCTGAAGGCTGCCTCCTCGGCCCCGCAGCCGCCCCGGAGCCCGGAAAGGGGCGGCAGGTGAAAAAAGTCAACCGTGGGAGGCTGAAGTATTTTGCAGCCTTTGTAAGACATCGGAGGGAGAAGAGGGGGAAGAGAAATCCAAGCCTATTAGAGTCAGGTCTCCCCTCCCTGCATCCAAAAGGATGAAAGAGGTTCGAGAGTTTTTGGGAGTTGGCTAGAATCCCTTCTCCACTCTGCCCCTCTTCCCTCAACACACGAATCTATTGAGGCACTTTTTCCATTTAAACCAGGGGTCTTGAAGCTTGACAGCTTTAAGACTTGTGGACTTCAACTTCCAGAATTCCTCCTCCAGTCATGTTCTCTCAGGAATTCTGGGAGTTGAAGTGCACAAGTCTTAAACTTGCCAAATTGGAAGACCTTTGGTTTAATCTGATATTAGTCAAACTCTTCTTTTCAATGTTAGAACCTTTAAAAGATATGCACACCTCTGTTTCAATTCTTTAAAAGTAGTCTCTGAGAATAGACGTCTAAAACCTGTCTTCAACCTTGACAAGTTTAAGTTGTGGACCAACTCCTAGAGTTCCTCAGCTAACATGGCTGGTGGGGGGATTCTGGGAGTTTAAGTCCACAAGTCTTAAAACTCAAATTTGGAGACTACTGGTGTAGAAGATGCATATTGGGATAATGACAATGATCTGTGGGAATGACATTGGAAGTGGAAATACCACGGAATACACAACCATGTAAAATCACCACAATCATGTAAAACCTGGAGCCTTCCCACAAGTAGACAGGGGCAGGGGGAATGCTTCAGTTTACCCAAGAGGGAAAGGACAGGAGGGGAGAAATACTTTCAAGCTTTCAAGATTTTGTGGTCTTGTGATCAATTGGCCTTGATCCCAAAGTATGTCCACGAAGCGAAGCTAAACCAAAAAGCAGAGATTGATCCCATCCCTCTCAAAGTGCTAACGGTCCCTAAATCTAACAGAAAAATTTCCCAGAGGAAGGGATAGAGCTGACATATCTAAATCCACAAAGGAGGAAGGCATAGCTCAGAGAAGATAAAGAAGCAACTCCTGATTAGAACGAAAAGAGGAAATAAAAAGAGGCAAAAAAAACATACAAAAAATGCCAGACATTTACCCAGAAATAACAGCCACCTTCAAATCAGAATCCCTGAGTTCTCTCACTTTGACTTGAGTTGGGGAAATTCAAGTGGAGAGTCAAAAGGTAAGCCAAGCAATCTAACATGGCAATAGTCTTATGAACATGGATCATAATCCAGGCTGTTCTTTCAGGTACAGGAGCCATTCGCAAGAGAGATCTCAGCAGAGCTCCAGGAAAGAGATGAATCCAATCCCTCTCAACAGCTTCATTTCAGGAGGATCCAATTCGGGCCATCTTGCCAGGCAAGTATAGGTTTCTTCTGAAAGCAGTAAAGTTCCACCTCTTCCCATTCTAGAACTGCTTTTACAACCAAATGCTAAATCTGTGCATTTGAACACGGTGTCTCCCCAGAATGCTCCATTGAGTCACGTTCAAGTCATTTTCCAGATTGTTCTTAGTCTGTAAGCAAAGGACAGTTCACAAAATGAGAGGCTTGTATCACAAAATGTAATCAGTTTGTTGAAAGATTTTAATACGTCTCTTTCAAAAGAACCTGAAAACCAGCTACAAATTATGAATTGGAAAAGAACTGCTTTCCAAAATGTACCAGCATATCCACTTAAAAATGAATCACCTGAAGGGCAGGTTCCCTCTGTAAAACCTACTAAGTGAATCCTAAATGGCTGTAACAATAAAATTGCTGGTCAAAGGACTTGCGATTTCCCTGATTATTTCCAAAATTTGGAAACAGGCTAGGAAAGAAGTTCCTGGTGGCTTCGTTCTGTTTTGAAAGAAATTTCCTGATTGTGGAACCCAAACCACCTTGCTGAATCATTCTGGAGCTGTTGGCAACTCCCCAAAGGGGGTTTTGTCATCCGACAACTTCCATTCATCTAAGCCTTATTTTGCGCCTTTGCAGCAGTAGCCTCAGGTGCTTGGTCTATAGACCATGGGGACCTACAGACATACCTGTCCTGTAGGAAAATGTCCAATTGGTCTCTTGAAAAGCTGTGTTTTGTATTGTAAGAAAGGATTGTCTGTTAGGGATAGTGTTCTTTCTCTTTCTAGGGCTCTTCTCTCTTTGAAGAGGTGACTGTAGACTTCACAGAGGAGGAGTGGGCACTGCTGGATTCTGGCCAGAAGGCCTTGTGCAGAGAAGTCATGCTGGAGATTTTTAGGAATATGGCCGCTCTGGGTAAGGAGCCATTTTGCTCTGGGTCCAGTTAATTGGGAAAGGTGTTTTAAGTGGGAGGTAAACAAGGAGGATCTCTGCACTCAGTTGCATAAGCTGTTCCTGACACCTGCCTGGGTGCCCCCTGAATAACTTCACTCTCTTCAAACTTTTCCTACTCTTAAAAAAAAACATAGTCATGTGTGCTTAATATTTGACTGCTATCCAAGGCCAGATATCTATGCTGGAATTCAAAAAACATCTGAAAAAAGGTGTGATTTCCCACTTCTGTGTTATGGACAAGAAAACTTCCTGTTGGAACCAGGAAACAGAGATCTTCACTTTAACTGGCAACTGCCTGTAGACATACTTAGATCCATATGGCATCTTTCGAGGATTGGGAATTAAAAGTGTATGTGTGTGTGTGTGTGTGTGTGTGTGTGTGTGTGTGTGTGTGTGTAGCGGAATAAAAGGAATCTCAGTCACTTGGAAGCCGCCTTCCCACCAGCACACCTGCCCCCTCTGCCCCCCTTTCTCCCCACCACCTAAAAAGAAAGGTGCATGTGATCACCTTTTGCAACCTTCTGACAAGTAATGTCAGTGTGGAAGCCAGATTCACTTAACAACCGTGTTAGTTCCTTAACAATTGCATGATTCAGTTGACAACTGTGGCAAGAAAGATTGTAAAATGGGACAAAATTCATTTCACAAATGTCTCCGCAACAGATATTTTGGGCTCAATTGTGGTCATAAGACTACCTGTAAATGCTGTAGTAATTTGTTCTTCCTCCAATATCGACTTGAACAGCTTGGACATTATCCTATGTTCAGCTTGGGCTTCCAGAAATAAACTGTGTAGCAGTTTCAACATCAGAATGACTTGCCCAACCCTATTTGGTGGATCACCTCAACAGTAGCTTCATCTCCATGTTAACTAAGGAGATGTCAAACATTGAGGAAGATCACAACTGAGCAACCTTGGGCTCAATCACCCCTCCACCCCACTTTCCACTCAACACTGTTCTGGAACTGTCCCTTGGGAAAAGAGAACCACTGCAATATATTTTCAACATGTGACTTTGGAGGTAGTCCAGAATTTTCAATTGTATGAAAAGCCACAAAGAAGATTAGATAATGACACTCCTGATATAGCAATCCCTCAGGAGGTAACGTGTGTAACCCTGACCTGAATCTCCATAAAATAAGTCTAGATAATGTTTTCCACGCTGAGTCCTCTGTAGCTGTAGCCACATCCTTTTTTTAAAGTGCCTCATTTGAAGATTTGAATATATAGGAATCCAGAATCATCAGACTGAGCAATGGCTTTTGGAGGTGACACTGCTGCCTCCTTTTAGAAGGATAGTAGTCCCTCAACCAAGAATCCTTTTACTAAATTCTAATGGGAACTTATATTTTCTTTTTCTCAATCAGGTGACAGGCTGGAGAATGACAATGAGAAACAGATGAGGTTAATGCCTATGGAAACAGCAAACCTTCAAGTAGAAGAAGTGATTTTTGACCATCAACAGGATGCAAGCCCCCAAGAAAAACGCTACTCAGAAGATCAGGGGGCGAGATCTTCCACTTATCTTCCTACTGAAATCCAGCAAGACCAGAAAGGGAAGCAAAAGGGAAAATACAGCAAAAGGGAGAAAAATGAATTCGATTTAGCTGAATACGGCAGAAGCCAGGCCAAAGGAAAACCATATGACTACAGACAGTATGCAAAATCCATCAATCCTTCTTTCTCTCTTTCTTTACCTAAGAAACTGTACAGGAAACATGAGCCAAATATATTTGTAAAATTTGGAAAGTGTTTCAGTGTGAGCAGAGACACGAAGCTCTGTGTGAAGTGTGGAAAGAACTTCAGTAGCAACAGTACACTTAATCGTCACCAGAAGATCCACACAGGAGAGAAACCGTATAAATGCACGGACTGTGGAAAAAGCTTTTCTCGAAACACACAGTTTATTCATCACAAAAGGATTCATACAGGGGAAAGACCATATAAATGCCTGGAGTGTGGAAAGAGCTTTATTGCAAACAAAAATTTTACTCGGCACCAAAGGATCCACATAAAAGAGAGACCATATAAATGCATAGAATGTGGAAAGGGCTTTATCGACAGCAGAGACCTTAGTCACCACCAAAGAATCCACAGAGAGGAGAGACCATATAAATGTACAGAGTGTGGAAAAAGCTTTAATCACTACAGAACCTTTACTCGTCATGAAAAAATACACACCAGAAAGGATCAATATAAATGCATAGAGTGTGGCAAGAGCTTTAGTAACTCTAGTACTTTTACTATTCACAAAAGGATCCATGCAGGTGAGAAACCATACAAATGCTTAGAGTGTGGAAAAAGTTTTAGCCGGAAAGGACATCTTAATCGTCATGAAAAGACTCACACGGGGCAGAAACTTTATAAATGTATAGAATGTGGAAAGAGCTTCAGTACTAACGGTAATCTGGCTCGCCATCAGAAGATCCACACAGCTGAAAAAACATATAGTTGCAAGGAGTGTGGAAAGACATTCGCTGAGAGTAGTGATATTATTTCCCATCAAAGAATCCACACAGGGGAGAGACCATATAAATGCCTAGATTGCGGAAAGAGTTTTTTTGACAACGGTGGCCTTACTCGACATCAAAGGGTCCACACAACGGATAGACGGCATGAATGCTTGGAGTGTGGAAAGACCTTTATTGAGAGCACAAATTTTACTCGGCACCAAAAGATGCACGCAGGAGAGAGACCATATAAATGCATGGAGTGTGGAAAGAGCTTTATTCGCAATTGTGAACTTACCTTCCACCAAAGGTTGCACACAGGGGAAAGACCATATAAATGCCTGGAGTGTGGGAAAAGCTTTCGTCGGAATACAGAACTTATTTATCATAAGAGGACCCACACTGGGGAAAGACCATATAAATGCATACAGTGTGGAAGAGCCTTTACTAGAAAAGGACATCTTACTTATCATGAAAGTATCCATACAGGGGAGAAACCATTTCAATGTACAGAATGTGGAAAGAGCTTTGCTCAGAAAGGACAACTGACTTCTCATGAGAGAATCCACACAGGAGAGAGACCATATAAATGCTTAGAGTGTGGAAAACATTTTCATTGGAGCAGACAACTTATTCAACATGCAAGGATCCATACTGGGGAGAGACCATACAAGTGCATGGAGTGTGGAAAGCAATTTACTCAGAAAAGTCATCTTATTAATCATGAAAGAATCCATACAGGGGAGAGACCATATAAATGCACAGAGTGTGGAAAAAGCTTTGCTCGGACAGGACAACTTAATTCTCATAAAAGGACGCACACAAGAGACCATATAAATCCATTGTAGTGTGGAGAAAGCTCCAATAATCACAAGACATTTACCCACGAAAGAATCCAAAGTGCGGGAAATCCATATAAATTCATGGTGTGTTGAAAGAGTTTTCACAACAAAAATATCATAAAATTATGTGCACAGAAGAGATATTATAAATCTATGGAATGAGCTTTATTCAAAACAATTAAATTACTCATCATCAAAGAATACAGAAATGAGAAGGAAGCTTCTTCCATAGAATGTGGAAATATATTTTGTTTGATCTGGAATGTTGTTCATGATACTGTGAGGATTCTCTGATTTCCAAGGAGTGGGTAGAACACAGCACAGCATTAGCAAATCTGTACAGCATGCTTCATTGTGTTACGTGCCTTCCGCAACAACAGGCTATTGCTCTTAACTCTATCCTCTGGACCTTGGAAGCTGGGATTGCCACGCAAATACATCTTTAATACTGAGTCCTTACTGAAGCAAAACTTTCAAAGTCTGAAAAGTGGTATGCAACCGTTGCTTCCTTCCAAACATTCTTGCATCGAGGGACTGCCTCAGTGCATTTGCTGCATTTCTCTTGGCCAGTTTCCAAGCCCTGCATTTAAGCAATGTTGCCAAGCTGAGTTGCCAACTGAACCTCCAGGCAGGAGTCCCACCAGAATATGCTGCTTGCCGTAGTTTGTGGTGCTGGCGGTTGAGGGATTGCCTGCTTGTCAGTCACCAAATGTGGCCTCCTGCTTCACCATGTTCTCTTTTTCTCTTAGACCCCTACACAAGCTCTTTGCTCTTTCTTAGCCTTTGTTTCTGTAAACAAAGGGTCTTGATGGGGTAAGGTTGCTTCTGGATTTCCATACATTGTTGAAAACACCAGCTGTGGCTCAATTAGCCAGGCAACTGGATCACCAGCATGACGACAGGATCCTTGTAAGTAGACTGAATGAGTGAAGGCATGAACCATCTAACAGATCTAACAGATAATCAGAGTTGGAAGGGACCTTATAGGTTATCTACTTCAACCCCCGCTGCCCAAGCAGGAAACCCTACACCATGTCTGACAAATGGCAGTCCAGTCTCTTTTTGAAAGTCTCAAGTGATGGTGCTCTCACAACTTTCGAGGGCAAGCTGTTCCATTGGTTGATTGTTCTCTCTGTCAGAAAGTTTCTTCCTGTTTCCAGGTTAAATCTCCTTGTTCAGTTTCCATCCATTATTCCTTGTCTCGTCTTCAGATGCTTTAGAAAACAGCTTGACCCCTTCCTCTCTGTGACAGCCCCTCAAATATTAGAAGACTGCTATCATGTCTCCCCTGGTCCTTCACTAGACTAGCCAAGCCCAGTTCCTGTAACTGTTCTTCATTTGTTTTAGTCTCCACTCTCCTAATCATCCTGGTTACTCTTCTCTGTACTTTTTCTAGAGTCTCAACATCTTTTTTATAATGTGGTGAACAAAACTGGATGCAGTACTCTAGGTGTGGTCTTACTAAGGCTTTATAAAGTGGTATTAGTACCTCACTTGATCTCGATTGTATCCCTTGTTAATGCAACTTAGGATTGCATTAGCTTTTTTGGTGGCTGCTGCACACTGCTGGCTCATATTTAGCTGGTTGTCCACTAAGACTCCAAAATCCCTCTCACAGTAACTGCTATTGCCCCTGGTTTCACCCAGTCTATATGTGTACTTTTGGTTTTTCTTGCCTAAGTGTAGGACTTTACTTTACTCTACGTTGAATTTCATTTTGTTAGATACTGCCCAGTGTTCTAGTCTGTCAAGATCCATCTGGATCTTGAGCCTATCTTCTTGGGTGTTAGCTATTCCTGCCAGCTTAGTATCATCTGCAAATTTGGTAAGTTCCCCTTCTATTCCCTCATCTAAGTCGTTAATGAAGATATTGAAGAGTACTGGGCCTAAGAAGGAACCTTGTGGCACCCCACTGCTTACTTCCCTCCATGTAGACTTAGACCTATTAAGGACTACTCGTTGAGTATGGTTTGTCAGCCAGTTGCGAGTCCATCTAGTGGTGGTGCTGTCTATCCCACTTTTTCCTAGCTTACCAAGAAGTAGGTTGTGGTCTACTTTGTTGAATGCCTTGCTGAAATCTAAATATATTATGTCCACAGTATTTCGCTGGTCTACTAATTTAGTCACTGTGTTGAAGAATGAAATATGATTGGTTTGGCATGATCTGTTTTTGACAAACCCCTGCTGACTGCTAGTTATTACTTTACTTGTTTCTAGATGTTGGCAGATCTGTTTTTTCATTATCTTTTCCAGTATCTTCCCAGGTATTGATGTCAGGCTGATTGATTTATAGTTTCCTGCGTCTGTTTTTCTTCCTTTTTTGAAGATGGGAACCACATCAGCTCTTTTCCAGTCCTCTGCTTGTTTCCCAGTGTTCCGGGATTTTTGAAAGAAAGGTGCAATGGTTCCGAGATGACCTCTGCCAGCTCCTTTAAAACTCTGGGATGTAATCCATCAGGTCCCAGTGGTTTGTGTTCATCAAGATCAGACAGGTGTTCTCTTACTATTTTTTTTGCTTATTTTAACTTTTATTTCTGGTCTGTCTTTTACAGTTATGTTTTTGGTGGGTTGAGCTATAGTTTCTTTTTGCATGAAGACCGATGCAAAGAATCAGTTAAGCAGTTCTACTTTCTCTCTGTTGCCTGTTACTTCCTTGACATCTTCTCTCTTTAATGGACCGACTGTTTCCTTGATTTTTTTTTCTTGTTATTTATATTTCAGATTTCTTGAGCTGTGCTGAGCCATGGGAAAGAGGTGCGGCCTGGCTGCAACTGTTTTTCCAAAGCACAGACAGCCAAGGTAGCTTTGCTTCCTCAAACATCCATGTAGGAAAAAAATGATAAGCACCCAAATATAGAAAGAGCTGAAGGTAGAGTTGTGGCCTGACTATTGATGAGATGACCCATACAGTATTGTCATACAAACATATGGATAAATTACATATTGGGTAATTCAATGAAAGTTGTCTCATTCATTGTTCATTTTCTGCACATATTTCTCAGAGGTTTCTAGACACTTTGGAGAAGAGGGTTAGGAATCCAGGTTGGAAGAATTTTTATCTTCTTTTCTTCCCACTGTTTTTTCTGCTGCCTTTCCATGCAGTGCCTTCCCAGATTACTCAATCCATTTTTGAAGGGGTTCCACATTTCCCTGAACTAGAACATACTTCCCAGCTAGGTTTATACCCATTGGCTACACCAAAATGTGGTGAGTAGCAGGTTGAGCAAATAAGTCTTTAGAAAGCCTAAATGGTGCTTTACATTTACATTGAAAAGCAAGCCTGAGATTGGAAGGTAAGAGTTGCCTTGAACTGCAAGATTAGTGGTATATAAATGTGATTGATAAAGGAATGAGTGTATGAATGAACAATTATGTCTGACTAGCTTGATACCCATGCTTCGCTATGAAACTATGTGGTCAGGCTTAGTTTTGGGGGAGGAAAATAAGGGGAAAAATCTGTCCCTGCCTACCAACATCCATCAGTATTTATCTGGTTAGCGTCCTGTCAGTGTGTGAGAGAGTTGAGGGCTATTTGGAAACTGAAACTTTGCTGTTGAGCAAGAAGGAGACAGCAAGGAGCCTGGGCATGGCTTAGCTCAAATGTTCTGTACTAAAACTGCTTGGTGCTCTGAAGCTGAAATTCCTCTCCTCTGCTTGTGTTTTCCATTTGGAACAGATTTCTTTTCAGGTGTGAAGGGGGACTAGAACACCTTAGCATCAGAGCGTGTTAATAATAATATACGAAATACTAATGCTCTGATGGTCATTTCAAAAAATCCTTTCTTAGCAAGCACCTAGAAGCCAAAAGGAACATACCTGCCAAGACTTTATGGTTCTGGAGATTTTGTGATGTTGCGTCAGTGGTATTTCGCTTTTATATTATACAGATAGATATATTGATATATAGATGTAGAAAGATAGAGTTTTCCTGAACTCAAAGTAGGAATCTTCTAGAGCTGAATGTGTAACATTCTGGATGGATAGATCCTGTACTCGGGATCCTGTAGCAGGCAGGTTACACTAAAAATGAATTCAATTAACTTCCAGCACCTGGCTAATCTTATCTAGATAAGAAGGATCAGTTCTTGTTAGGGACCGAATAAGAGACCACCTGGATTTGCACAACTGAACGTCCATATTGCTATCTGAGGAGAATAGAATGAAGCTGAAGGCTTAAGAGTCAATCTTTGGTTCTGTATTCTTTTCCTTAGACACATTTCTACCCTTAATGTAGCTACTAGCTTATCTGTATATTATTTTTATTGTTACTTATCTTGTCTATATTATAATGTGCTGTTAAAAGTATTTAATTGCTTTGTTCAATAAATTATTTCAGATTTTATTGTCTGAAACTCTTCGTCATATATGGATGGGGCAAAACAAGGCCAGTTTGGGACATTCCAAAAATATATCAGAATACAGCAGTGACAAACTACTTTTGTGTTACTGCTGAGCAAATATTGCTATTTGAACCAAGCACTTAGAATAACAGAACAACATAGTTGGAAGGGACTGGGGGTCTTCTTGTCCACCTGTCTTGCTCAGGCAGATGCCCCTGGCCTGTACCATTTCAGACAAATGGTTGCCCATGTTAGATACTTACCATGTTGGAGCATCCACAACTTCTGGAGATGACTGATTGATTGATTGCTGTGTCATTGAAGCAGTGCCAATTCTTAGCAAGCACCGGGCAAAATCTCTTCAGGATACCCTTGGCCATTCAGGAGTCCTATTGATGCGCTCATTGCTGCTCTGATGGAATGCAACTGTCTTGTTTCTGTTCCTCTTTTTCCTCCCATCTTTGCTAGTCCCATTGTTTCCTCAATGGAGTCGAGTCTTTTCTTAATGTTCTTTGTTTATTTGTGACCCAGGTCTGAAATCTCGGTTGATTTCTTTTATGAAGTATTCATTTGATTCTTTGAGTGATCATGGTGTTTTCAAGAGTTGAAAAGCGTTATAGAATCATCATGTGTCTAGGAGGGACCTTTGAAGTCTTCTAGTCCAGTGGTCACCAACCAGTGGGTCGAGGACCACTGATGGTTCGCGAGAAAATTTTGGTGGCCCGCAGAGAAATGTCATCCCCAAAACAATTAATCCAGGCTGCATGGGAACACAAGGCTGCACCACCCACATCACCCATGGGAACACAAGGCTTGTGTCATTTGCATTGCGAACAACACGAGGTAGTGAAGGGAGCGGGGAAAGGGTGGAGGGGGGGAACTTGCCCTACTCACCCCACGCA